TTCCATCTTAGTCCTCACGAGTGAAAACGCATCTGGGTTTTGATTCGCAAACGAAGATAAATGTAGATGTCCATGGGCCACAGCATCCGCTTACCATCAGGTGGACTGTGTGCTCGTTTGTCACTCGATCATATAAAAAAAATATTGAGAGAACATTTCGGTGAGCACATAATTTCACGTTTTGGGCAGGTCGATTGGCCACCAAGATCGTGTGATATCACACCGTTAGACTTATTCCTGTGGGGATATGTAAAGTCTACAGTTTATGCAAACAAACCCGCTTCGATTCAGGCCTTGGAGGAAAACATCACACGTGTCATTCGCCAGTTACCAGTCGAAATGCTCGAACGAGTCATCGAAAATTGGACTCAACGGATGGACCATCTGCGGCGTAGCAACGGCCAACATTTGATAGACATAATCTTCAAAAAATAAATGCCAAAGAATGTTCTTTCAAATGATAATCAACATTCTCCATTAAATTTGAATTTTCTGTGTTTTTTTTCTTTAAATAAGTAGGGAACCTCGAAATGGATCACGCCTTATATACGGTACTAATAACACAAAAACAAATTTTAAAATTTTTGTCTGTCTATCTGTCTGTCTGTCTGTTTGTTCTGATTTTGACGGGACTTTAAGTGGCAGATAGCTGATACAATAAGGAGTAACTTAGGATACTTTTATTTGAGAAAAGGAATTTGGGTTACGCAAAGAAAATTTAAATATGTTTAAAATTTAATTTGAATAGGTTTTTGTAACGCTAAGACTATGCGATTTACCATTAGGGCTTCATTACTACTTACAACCAGCTGGGATTGTGGTCGATCACTAGCTTATAATAAGTAAAAAAGTACTCCAGCATTTTGCCATGCATATTTTACCAGGTCATCACTCCGTCTAGTCTCCGTACTTCGTTTAGCAGATGCGAAATGAAACTTTAAACAATTATCTAATATATAACAATTATTTTTTGTTCGTTATTTATGCACTGCTATATCGTTCATTACAGTGCGTTCAAACTTTGTCACCTTATTGCTTGCACTTGCGCGTAGGTTATAGGCATAGCACAATCAAGTTACAGTAGGTGGCGCGCGTATCGTACCCACCAATTTACTTGAAATTTATATATTATTAAATTACAATAGTGTATTATCGTTCCTAATTAAACAATATAACTCTTCCAAATTTAAAACGATATTTCCACAATTTTTTTTTGCGGCAGCAACGTGATGCGTACCTGATAGTAAGTAATAATTACGATCATCGAACTTTTTTGTTATTTTGAGTTGTTTCTAGAAAGATGCTGATATCCACTCCTAATTCATTGTACCCTGTCGTCGCTTACGACATTCGCGGGTGATAGTGGATCCCCTTACGCCGCTATTACATAAAGGAAAAACAATGTAATTGTCATCCCCAAGCGTGGCGACTATGGCACATATCCCTACATGAGGCGATCTATGGAGGAGGCCTGTGTTCAGCAGTGGACTTCAATTGCTGAAAAAAAAATGAATGAATGAATGATTTAATTGATGGATGGATGAATTAATTAATATTAGGATGGTAAATGAGCTAACAGAACACCTGATAGTAAGTCGCAGCTATTTTTAAACTAAGAGGGTCACAATTGCTCTGTCATCCTTTAGGACGAAGATGATATACCACAAAGGCAGTAAATATACAGTTTCTCTCGCCCTTCTTACTAAAACATAACAGTGAGTGCTCAGTTGCATCGCAGCAAAAATAAGTTTGAGGGGTAAGAGACAAGTCCCTTATAAAAAAAAAGTAGCTCTATCATTAAGTAAAAATAAACTATATCTTATTGCTATTAAACTAGAGCCACGCTGCAGCTATATTAAGATTGTAGCATGAATGGGTCAGCTCAACTGGAGTAGGACCATGCTCTCACAGTATACCAATGGGTGCTTAATGGCGCTCTGTATCTAATGTTCAATTTCCATTTAAAGACTCTTTTAAATGCAAATGAAACATTCTTTCTTATACCTTAGGGGTGACATCGCATCTGCGTTGTGATTGGTAATCGAGGATAAGTGTCTATGGGCTACATCATCCATTTACTATCAAGGTGACTGTGTGTTCGTTTTTCACCCTTGTTCTATAAAAAATGTGAGCATTATTAAGTAAGATCCGCGTGAAATATAAAAATAATCTTCCTTACGTAGTTTGAAGAGCATCTCCGGTCCGAGCTTACTACCACCGTAACAACGAGACAGGGAAAACATCACGCAGTTGCGGTGTGAATCCCAGTGGGAATACGATTCCTACCACTTATACAATATTATAAATAATTCTATGTACACATGAATGAGCGTATATTGTATGACCCTTTTAAAAAGTCATTAAATTCCCTTTATCATTTAGTCAATATTCTATACCTAAAAATGACACACATTTAAGGTAAAACAATACAATATAATACAACACAATACTCTTTATTGTACACCAAGAAAAGTTAAAAATATCAAAAGGAAAATATAAACAACTATTGAGGGATATACAAAGGGCGGTCAACCCACTAGAAGAAATAAATAAAAATAAGAAAAAGAACAACAGGTAGGGTGCATTAAAATAAAAAAATAAAATAAAAATTGTTTGCGCCAAACGCTAAAATTTAAAAACAACATAACGGGGCGCGTCGGCGCGCTCGCGTGGGAGATCGGGCAGTTTCTCGGCGGCTCTTCGGCGGTTCTCGAAATAATTTGTTGCTGAGTGAACGGAAGTGAACTTTGACCCACCGTTCATCAGTCGTGCCGCGTGTTACGTTTTTTGATTATAATTAATGGGATTTAGTTGATTTTTAAAGTTAGTTAAATGTATAATAAAGTTGATAGACTGACATAGTGAATTGAAGAAAGAAATTGTCCATTGGTGACGCCGCTGGAGAATACCACACCGTGGGGCGGTGCAGGAGTCAGGGTTGCTGCCGACTAAAAGGGTTAAGTCAGGCCCCACATTTTTACACCCTGAAAAACACCACTTACATGCACTACACCTAACGCCTGACCGAGCCTTGTGACCAGTCTCCGCTTCTGAACCAGGTAAGTCGTATTAATTTTCCTAGCCTTATCTCTTCTATATTCTTTTTACCAGACTAGCCCAACATGAGAGTAGTGTATGTATTTATGTTTGTTTATTTTTGGCACGCTCTGTGGTTTAAATGGCTTGATGGATTTTAAAACATGGGGCGTTGATGCATGAGTCATGGTTGTGGAAGTGACATAGAGTATAATCTTTTTTTCTTATCAGTTAACTTTTTTACGTAGTCGGGTTTTTTGTTTCATTACTGTTTTACCAACGGGCTTGTTTGTATAAATGTTACTCGATATCTCCTACAATTATGACACGATTTAAATGACACTAAAAACTGCGGTAGCCAACCCGCCTGGCACGCGTGCAACTATGGCAAGTTTCCCCAATACGAAGCTATCTATGATGGTGACCTATGGCCAGTAGTGGATTTATGATAGGCAATAACGATGGTTGATGATGATTTAGACTACATTAGAGCTCGTTATATTCCTTCCAGTCCTTTCAAAGCGTAGTAAATAAGAAAATATAAAAATTTGTAGACGACTTCAAAAAACTAAAAAAGAATGAACTTATTTTCACATGAGAACTTCAGAAGTCGGGGCTTTAATTGTACACTCTAACTTCTGTAGCTATAATGTAGAAATTATTTTTATATCGTTGAATTCGGCTTTTACTTTTTATTTTAATTAAAAATTAAAAATTTTGTACTCCCGACTTCAATATAAGTTATTAAGAATAACTCAAAAACTATTGGTCTGACCTTCATAAAATTCATATGAGACTACACGAGAAGTACCAGCTTTCAAATAAAGAAAGAATCATCGAAATCGGTTCACCCAGTAAAGAGTTATGAGGTAACACACATAAAAAAACGTACAGTCGAATTGAGTACCGTCTCCTTTTTGCAAGTCGGCAGAAAAGTAAAATTTTGTTACATTATCATTTTCATTTCGCCCAATCACTTGTTCACTGTAAACGAAACACCTTTGCACATTCTAACTAAATCTTCTTATTCTTTCTTGCCAGCACGTAGAAGTACATTGCTACACATGGACCTTTACCATTAATGCTGAAGATAGGCCTCCTCCATTATTTGCTTCGTAGGGTAGATTTTGCCATAGGTGCCACGCTTGGCTGGCTTTTTATTATTTTGATATATGTATTATCAGGAAGATGCTGCTGCCCTTATACTGTTTCACTTTTTCTCTCTCATCTCTTATGACTCCCATGGGACGATATATGGTATGGATACTGTTACACAGCCACTACACGATAATCACACAATAAATAATCTTATTAAAAAAAAACTTGAAACACATCCGAATAGGTATACTAATATATTAAATAGAATTTCTGCTAATTTACCGTCCAACGAGACAACGACGCTATTCCCAAATGTGTATTATCAGTAGACGCAAAGAAATAATTTTATACAATAATAAAATATTCGTAAAAGAAACAATCCCTAACACAAAATAACGCAACGACGCTGTACAACGCTCATTGTCTAAATTAAAACCGCACATGGGACTCGTACGCTAAATTTTATCTTTGCTATTTTTATTTACATTGGAACAATTAATTTGTACGTGAATTTATAGTTCAATTAAAAGATATAACTAATTGAATTATTTCGGATTTATAGTTCAATTAAAAGATATAACTAATCTAAGTTAAATAAATATTTTTAGACGTCACAAGCTGTCTGTAAATACTAATATACCTAGTCAGGTCATAAGTTCTGTCATAAACTTTTTATAAAATTAATGATACATTTTTTCATAATTATATAGAAATTATATATGAAATGAAAGGTAATTTAATTTAAAATACAATTTTATTTACATTATTCAAAATGCTCTTCCCTATTTTGAATACATGCCCTTAATCGACGCGGCTAATCATCAATCGCAGCACGCACCACACTCATGTCTATTTCTGTCGCTGCTTTAGCCAAAGATGCTCCGTAGAGATTCCAAATTCTGATGAGATTTAGCGCAGACTTTCCCCTCGAAATGTTGCCATATCTTAAAATCCAGTGGGCTTAAATCTGGACTAGAAGAGTGCCAGTCTTCATGTCCGATAAAGTCAATTCCATGGGCCGTCACCGAGTTTTGCGTGCTTCGTGCCCTATGAGCTGGTGTAGAGTCCTGTTGGAATATCCAATGTCTGTTTTTGAACATTGTTTGAGAAAGAAGTTCCACTTTGTTTGTTAGGATGGTATTTTGGTACACCTCTGCACAGGTTTTCATACCTTTTTCACAGAAAAACACCTCGTTAAAAAACGTCCGGTCTTCTTACCTAGGTCTTCAGTGATCACTCTTTTGACCCTAGTTCTGCTAAGGCCCATCTGAAGAGCTAAGATGTTTTGTTTACGAACAGGATTTCGTTGGATTCACACCTTCACTGCTTTGATGATCGCGGGCGTCCTAACAGTACGAGGTCAGCCGATCCTCTTACGATTTTGGAAGCTTGAATATGCAGTGAATCGTTTATTAGTGCGATAAAAAGATCATAGGGTTATTTTCAATTTTTGTAGAATATTGAAAATCTCTTTTGGCGCGTAAACACAGCGGTGCAACGCGATAGCCCCTACTCTATCTTCTTTCTTCGACCGCTCCATATTTTAAAATGAATGAAAAATAATGTTTTTTTTATTTTCGGCAAACGCAAACGTTTTGTTTTAACTGTTGAAGTTCATCCAGTCAGTATTCAAAAATTTTAAAAAATTAGGTTTTGACAGAACTTATCACTCGACCATAGACTTAGACCCGACTTAGTATAAATAACGTCCCGAATAAATAATTTGGTGAATCACACACTTAAGTATACAGTTTAATCTTTTAACGATTCTCGACACATTTTCCAAAATAGAAAGGGAGAGCCAAATGAAACAAAAGGTATGCAGCAGCATCATCCTGATAATAGCTCAAAATAAAAAATGTGTGTTTGTGTACTTATGTACGCACGAAGGAAGTTATAATTTATGGTAACAAAACAAAAAACTTGAGAGACAATTACCCACTGCAGTTGTCGCTTTTATGTTTCAGTGTTCGCGCGCATCGTAACAACTACATGGTGTCGTTATTAGGTGTCTGTGTGCGCGCGCATCGTAGAAATTCTCTCTCATCATTTTTTCCAAACGCCCCAAAAATATATAATTTAAAAAAACTGCGGGTACTAATCTACATGCCGGACGTGATAATATTACGAAGTAATCTATTTCGAAGACATGTGAATTTCGCGAACACGGAGCACGGCAGGCTTACCCTAAAACCCTCTCAGACACTTTGTGTACGCACAAACTGCTTTTGTGGATGTACAAAAACCGTTTTGCGTAAGCCGACTAAACATGTCACCTACATCTGTCCTCAATTCATTTGTGTGCATGCGCACGCGCAAGCGAGCGCGAGAGTGTGTGTATGTGTGTAAGTGCACACTAGTATTTGAACTATTACTAATTATTAGTTACTTTAAAACGTGTTCCTTAGCCACTTACAATCAATTGGACAGTCACTTCGTTCATCACTTCAGTTTCATAAAAAGAACCGGTAGACAATAAATTTAAACATACTACAAATTTACATTAAAATTTTGTAGTAACATTGATATATCTGCCATGTTTAACATAAAGCTTCCAAATGCTGTGTAATCCCTTTGCAATTTTAATGTAAGCTTCTCTCTCTACACTTAAAATATTCGCCTTTCTCAAATTTGTATGTTAAATTTATAACTTTGGTTTTTAAATTTATAGCTTTAATGGGAAGAGAATGAGTTTTATACGTGGTAGAGCCACGCTGCATCTATATTATTGTTGCAGCTTGATTGGGTTGGCTCTACGGGATAAGGTTAAACCACACTCTTAAAGAATTCCCGCGTAAAATAACAACCTAACTGTGTTTTGTATGGAAATCTAGGAGACCGGAGACCTTTTTACTGGTAACGATACATTTAGATTCCTCATAAAGGAAAGATGTAATTGACTTTGGGCCACTCTATCCACTTACTGTTAGGTGGACTATGTTAACGTTCGTCACCTTTATTCTATAAAAAAGTAGTATGTGGGAGCCAGAAGAATTGCAGATGTGTTGCCGGCCTTTTAAAAAGGAGTAGGCTCTTTTCTTGAAGGTCCCTAAGTCGTATTGGTCCGGAAAAATCGCTGATGGTAATCGAATCGACAAGGAAGTTGTGCGAGGCAGAAAACATCTTCTAAATCACACAGTGGTGGACTGCCAATCATCCAGATAGTGTGGATGGTATCAAGAATTCTGCCGTGATGTGCGTTCGTGAAATTTGGCGGCTAGGTTTAATCCGAACAATTCCTCAAAGCACTCCCCGTGGTAAATGCGAAAGAAAATGCAAAGGGATGCAACATCTCTTCTCAGCGCCAATGAATCGAGCCGATCGGAAAGAACTCGGTCGTCAACGATTCGAACCGCTATGCGCTGAATGCGGTCAAGTGGAAGGAGCTGAAACTGGGGAGCCCCTGCCCAGAGATGGGAACAGTATTCCATGTGAGGCCGAACCTGCGCCTTGTAAAGTTGCAGGCGGTGTGCCGGCATGAAATACTGTCCCGCTCAGCTGAGCACGCCAAGCTTTTTAGAGGCCAATTTGGCCTTCCCTTCCAAGTGACCACGAAACTGCACGTCACTCGATATGTCGGCACCGAGGATACCGATACTGGCTGAGGCAACAAGGGGAGTGCCTTGATACTGAGGAGATACGACACAGGGGTTCCTTTTAGCGGTAAACGCGCAATCTTGTGTCTTCTGGGGATTGAACTGGACTAGATTTAGTCGCCCCCAGTCTGAGACTTTGTTTAACAAAGTCTCGACTTCAGAAGTTTGTTCCGGTACTCGGCGACGTTTTCCCGAGAAATATTGGCACGGCCGGTATATAAAGCATCACCAGTGCTGTCTTCAGCATAGCAATGAATATTACTGGTTTGCAATATATCATTGATATATATGCAGAAGAAACAGCGTTGGTGATAGCACGCAGCCTTGTGGAACAACAGTGGGAAGACCATAAGGGAAGCAGCTTCGAAAGAAGTGCTTTGTACCAAACCCGATCGAAAGCCTTCGCTATGTCCAAACTAACAGCCAACTCCTCCCCCTTGGACTCCACTTGCCTCCGCCCATCTATGAGTTAGGTTAAACTAGAAGATCACCAACTGAGCGACCTCGGCGGAACACGGTCTCGGTGGTCACTAATCACCTGGTGATCCTCAAGGTACCGCATGAGCTGGTTGTAAGTAAAAGGTGAAAGTAATGGAAACCACTCGACCTGTTGACGTCCAGGGAAAAGAGTGTTTTACGCAACGAGCGCTGTGTAAACAGCACTTCCCGCATGGAGCACTCACACTGCGGGATGGTTGGCGGTGTGTTCCCCCCGTCATCTGAGTCGAGTTTGAAGCAAAAAGAGAGCCTATCAGATGCTTTCTCCTTTGCTTCATGGGCAAGTGAGTCGTCCACCCTGTGCAGAGATGGAAGAGCTGGCTGACAGAAGTTCCCTTGGACAGCCTTGTCGAGAGACCAGAATGCACGTGTTCCCGAAGGAAGACGAACTAGCTTCTCGCCAATTCTGCCGATGTGCTCTGACTTTGCCTTGGCAATGACACTTTTGAAGGACCTGGAGGCGGAATTATATTTCTTTTAAGAGCGCTGATGTTTACATCCCGGGACGTTGATGCGTCAGCCCAGGCCCAGTAGCACTCCTGCTTATTATATATTAATATATAATATGTAAAATATATATTATATATTAATATATATTTTACAAGAGCGACCAAACCATGGCTGGGATCTGCCTCCGATGGGCACCACAGAGGGTGGAATAAAAAGTTCCATATCCTAAAGTACCACATCAGCAACAGAATCGGCAACAACGTTGGGATCTTCCGGCGAGAAGCAAACCCGCCACGAAGGGTAGAATGCAAAAAAAGACCGCATCCTGTCTCAATCGGCTGACCTATAGTGCCAAACACGGCGGCAAGCTGCAGATCGTAACTGTGATTGGAGCCTAATTGGCACCGTACTGCGGATCAGACAATGGTCCGAAGAGCCCAGAGGGGCATCCAAGGAGACCTGATATCCGTCCGGATGAGAGGTCAGCAGAAGATCCAAAAGGTACAACAGGGAAGGTATATGGTCTTCCACATCTGGGATCCGCGTAGGTAAAGTAACCAGTTATGTTAGACTATATGGCAAGGCAAATTCATATACAGATCTACCCGCATGATCGGTTAAACGGGAACCAAGTCATTCAGCGTGCTGGGCGATAAAATCACCAAGTATCACGATCTCTGCGGATGGGACCTGTTGTAGTACGGAGTCTGTAGACAGTTGGACGTGGTCGATGAGTCGGTCTGTGTCGGCATTACCGCTATAGCACCTGTAGACGCGGGGATGGTCGTCGCTGCCTACGCGCAGCCATAGGATGGACAGGTACGTACGCATACTTTCAAGACTCCCTAGGCGTCGAAAACATATGTCTTCTCTGACGTATACGCAAACTCCAGCCCGTGGCACAAAGGAGTGTTCAAATTTGTACCCCGGGTAGGAGAGATAGGAAGTATCAGCCGGAGAGGACACCTGAGTCTTAGTTAAAAAGAGCACGGCCGGCTTCGCCGTCTCTAGATGGTAATGGACAGTGTTAAGGTTGGAATGAAGTCCCCTGATGTTGCAAAAATTCACGGATAGCGTGAAACGGGTCAACTTAGTCTTATTGCTCCGCTTACCCCGAGCAGTATTAGTCGCGAGCGGAATTTCAGAATATGCGGGGCAGCCTGAGCACCCACGCTCAGGAGTGGAGTAGTTTGGTCGTGGATGCTCAGCGAGGGATTCTCCATGGGTACTGGGGTAGTCTTTTGTTTAATTCCGCGACCATTTTGATGTTGATGGGGAGGGGGGGAATTGGGCCTCCGGCCACCTGCACTCACTAAGCGGAACGCAGAGGTAAACCTCTACTTCACGCTGGTATTCTGTGAGGTCGTGGTACCATCCCGGTAGAGCCACGCGGCTCTACCACTGTTGAAAAACTATTCTTCATATCAATGGCTTTGGCCAGTTGTGGGTAAAATTCGTCAGGAATTTCGTTCGAAACCTTCACAACTTTTACCGAAATTCTCTAAAGCAAATGTTACAATTACGTAATTATATATTTACTCATCATTACTTCATTACAGCCATTCTTAAGTTCACTGCTGAACATAGGCCTCCCTCATATATAGCCTGATTGGAGCTATTTTGCC